TCCATCCATCCATCCATCCATCCATCCATCCATCCATCCATCCATCCATTCATTCATCCATCCATCCATCCATCAATCTATATATCCATCCATCCATTCACCAATCCATTTTCCTCTTCAAGAATGGGTGACCATGCTGGACATTTCCACCGCATTTCCAAAATGTCTACTTGCCTAAAACATCCACTTTTCTCCCCGACAAGGACTGGCTGCCTTGGACAATTTCGCCCGCCCGACCAGGAATACGCCCACCTTTCTCATCGACCGACACCGGGCGGCTGTCTTTGGAAATTTTCGACTGTTCATACTAGACCTCCACCTGCATCAGACAACCACTTTCCTTCTAAGAAGTACTTGTGGGCTCATCAGCGAATTAAAATCGTGGAACGCTTTTTTTCCCGAAACAAACTCACGGCGTGTTATTACAAAAAAGCGGAATCGTATTTTTCAATGTGATATCGTACCATCGTACTGAGAATGTCAGATTCGTACAAGATCTAAATGCGATTTTATCGTACTGGTTGGCAGCTATGCAAAGTAGATGACCAACTTTGAACAATGTCGACTGCATGTCCTAAACGTTTACCTGTCTAAGACACCATTTTATTTCTCAACAGCTGTCTAGAACAAACTATTCGACTTCACGTCCAAGACGCTCACTCGCCTGAGACAACCATTTTTTCTCTGGTTCTTTTTAACAGTTTTGACTGTACATGTACTACTTACTCAGTTTCCACCGCTCCCTGCTCAGCTGTCCTCCTGTCCTGCCCGAGTCACACTGACGTCAGTACTACACAGTACACGGGACACCCTCTGTCACACGTCTAATGGTGATCACACGTAGGGCTCTACAGAAGAATAAACAGAAACATTTTGAAATTTCTATTAGGAATAATTATTCTACGTCATTTTAAAAAAAGCTAATCGATACTATTATATTTTAAAAACTATACAACAATAGTAATTCCTAAGAATGTTTGTTTTTTAAAAATTATGCAAGAATACTATAAAAAAAAAGAGCATCTAATTTAAAAAATTTAAACTAGAGATAGTGGGTGGTTGGCGGGTGCTCTGCTGTGGTTTGCTTCTTCTTCTCTCCTACCAAACATCTATCGTCCTTATCTCTCCTCCTTCATTTTTGTGTTTGTTACTCTCTTGTAACAAATCTAATCTTCGGCATTTACATGACCTTATAGTGTTGCCAGTGCCGTAAAACACTTACTAAAACTAAAAGCTAAAGCAGAGACAGACCATGACCGACAGACAGACAGAGACAGAGAGAAACAAT